TGACGGTGGCGGCGGCGACGATGACGGCGCTGACGTTGGCCAGAGGGATGCTTCTTGGGGTCTCTTCGGAAAGTTCTCGGGGGCCTCTGGGGACGAATTCTGGGACCTCTTGGCCGCCTCTTGAGGGCCTCTTGGGAGCTTCTTGGGGCCTCTTCGGGCGTCCTGTTGACCTCTTGTGGGCCTCTCGGGGCCTCAGGGGAACCTTTGAGACCTCCTTGGAGCCTCTCGGGGCCGAGGGCTCGAAATGTCCGTTCGGGTCCTCAGTCCGCCTTTTTGGTCGTCTTGGAGGCGTTGTTTTGCGTCTTGGGGTTCCCTTGGGCTGTTTTGGGGCCCTCTTGGAGGGTCTTGGTCCGTCTTGGGGCGATCTTGTGGTGCCCTTTAGGCCGTTTTGGAGCGGCGGGGAGCGGAATAGGCGAGAACGCCCAAATCATTCAAACACTAGAGCTCGATAAATGGGTGTTGCCTCGTGTGGCTCTTCCCGGGAGTGCTCGTGGAGTCTTCTTGAGGCGTCTTGGAGGCTTCCTGAGCAGGCTGGAGGGCGTCAGTGCGTTTTGGACCGATAGTTGGCGATTTTGGGCCCTCTGGGATCGTCTCGGGGGCCTCTTGGGGTACTGTTGGCCTGTCTTGGTACTTTCTGAGGCCAGGGGGCCCCCGGGGATGGATGCGCATCTGACCCCCCCTACCCCCCCTATCATTGTTTACTATGAATTCGCCGGCCCAACGGGCCAGAGGCGTGCTAAGATCTCCTGTGACAGGTTAACAATATTTCTAGTTCGCGCGCGCGGGGCGGCCCCTGGGGGTCCCCCGGCGAAAAGTACCCCGACCGCAGCCCGAGCAGGTCTATTCAGAGATGGTTTTCCTCCTGGGTGTGGCCTCTCAGGTCCCCCAAAGCGCGCCAAGAGGGACCCAAGAGGCCCCCAAGACTGCCCAAGAGGCCCCCGAGACGCCCAAGAGCGCTCCAAGACGCAGATGATGACCCCAAGACGGTCCAAGAGGCCTCCAAGTGGCCCCCAAGAGGCCTCACAAGAGGGTCCCGAAAGGCCAAAATCAGCAATTTCAAGAGCGTTTTGGACGGATTTTGGCCCTGTCGCCTTTTCGGCCATCTGATGCTCCAAGACGGCCCAAGAGGCCCCCAAGAACGCCCCAAGACGGGCCAAGAGGCTTCCAAGAGGGCCCCAAGAGGGCCCAAGAGGGCCCCGAGACGGCCCAAGAGGCGCCCAAGACGGCCCAAGACGGCCCCAAGACGGCCCCAAGAGGGGCCCAAGAGGGGGACCACGAACCGAAAACTCTAACCTTCCGCCCCAAGAGGGCCCCAGGAGGCCACGAGAGGCCCCCAAGAGGCCCCAAGATGCCGCCAAGAGGCCCCCAAGAGGCCCCAGGAGGCCCCTAGGAATCCCAAAAGAGGCCCCAAGAGGCCCCAAAAGGCTTCACACATGCCTCCCAGGCGCCCCCGAACGGCTTCTCAAAAGACCCCAAGAGGCCTCCCAAAAAAGCATCTTGACGACTGTTTGGCCCCAAGAGTATCACAAGATGCCAACGAGAGGCTTCCTCCTCCGCCCCTTCCTCTTCCTCCTCCTCCTCCTCCTCCTCCTACTTATCTTCATCCTCCTCCTCTCCTTCTCATCCTCTCCTCCTCCTCCCTTCCCCTTCACCATCCTCATCTTCCCCCTCCTCGGCGGCGCCTCAATGGCCCCGGGCCCACGGCGAAGCAGGAGCGATCATGCAACATGGGCCGGCGGAATGAGCGAAGCGATTGAATAACCACGGCCTCCCCCAGGCGACCAGCAGCCAACCAGCACGAATGAGGCCCCCCACCCACACATACCTATCAAACAACCATGTGAATTCCACTTTTGGAAACATCTTGGGTCATGATCGGCGGGGGGCGCGAGCACTTAGCATTGTTTTTTAACAGGGGCGGCGGAGGTGCCCGCATATTGCCTGCTCTGCGCAGGGCCAGTCCTTGTCAAAATCAATTCAATTCACTCCGAGACAAAATCTGGATCATGCGCGGGCATCCCGCGATCACTGCGCATTGGTTTTTTGACTGGGACGGCGGAGGTGCTGGCACATTGCCTGCTATGTGCAGGCCCACCAGACGCTATGATGGCCACCCCGCCGCCATTGCGCACTGGTTTTCGACAAGGGTGGTGGGGGCCGACACGTTTCCATATGGGCACTGCCACGTGCGCAGGCGCACCTGGCACACTCCCGTGCGTGCCCCGAACGTGGCGCACTTTGCGCGGCTGGTGCATGCGGCACACATGGCGCACGTGCATCACATGGCGCATCGAGCGCACCAGGCGTGCCCAGTGGCGCACCTGGCGCGCGTGGCGCAGCTGGCACGCCTGGCGCACCTCGCCCCAGCGTTGCGCACATGGTCTGCCCAGGACCCCCCCCCGGGACCCCCTCCCAGGACCCCCCCCCGCCGACGGGGGGGGTTCAAAGGGGAGGGACTTCCCTTCGACTCGATTGCGACATTGCTAGTTGTTTCTCTCGCTGACAGGCTTTGAGGAGGAGGGCGTAGGGAAAGGGAACGACGGAGTTGACGACTGATTTATTTTTGATTCGGCCGATTTGTTCCTCGTCTCTTCTCCGGGCACAGCAAAGAACCACAACCACGACTACGGATATTTTTCTGGAGTGCCCCTCGGGAGAGGACCCACCAGCCTTTGGTTTTGGTCGATTAACATTTTGGATCTGGTTTTGGTCGATTTGGCCGTCTGGGACGCCCACATGAGCACTGATATGTTTTCGGTGTTCCGACGATTGTTGCCATGCGCAAGACGTCCCCCAGGGTTCGTCCTCGATGTGGCTACGGTCGTTTGCTGTCCCATCTTCCCGACTACACGTAAGGATGACCCTTCGCCGGAGTGACCTTTGGTGCGGGCCCACTGGGGACCCCCTATCGCTGAATGCGATGCGATAGCAGCGGCCCGCGCGCTTGGATTCTGATCCCTCTCGCCCCCCAAACGCGACGCACCAAAGGTCACTCTTGCCCGAGGTCACTCTTGCGTGTAACCGCATCTTCGCTCCTCGTTCCATCCGTTCCTCCCCCGCCTCTTCTCGGGAGCGTACATGAACCCACGTGGGTCTGCGCGAACGTTCGTATCACGCGACTGGTCTAGCAGACTGGGGGTCCGTGTTCACGTACGTGGTTTGGCGTGCGTACAGCCTCTGTGGGCTCCCCATCCCTCCTGGCCCCCAAGGGTGCTCCCAGGACCTCCATGGTGTGACGGGGATCGCCGGATCTGGAATCCGTCGGACGCCTTGGTCTCCCGCGGCGTTCTTTCTGGTCTGCCGTATGGCCTCCCGCATGGCCTTCTGTGTGGTCTCTCGCATGGTCTCCGACATGGTCTGCCATATGGTTTTCCGTATGGTCTCCCGGCGGGTGTCCCGTCTGGTCTGTTGTCTGATATCCCGCATGGTCTTCGTTTCCCGTATGGTCCCCTGTACGTGCAGTTCAATCGATTGACCTTCAAGATCTAATTATGTTGTTTTTGGATATTATGCCGTCAGGTTGTGATTCCCCAATCAGAGCTTGCTCCTGTAGGGGTCCTAGCGGATATAAAGCTGAGGTGAGGTGAGCGGCCGATTTCGGTGGCCGGGGCCGGGTGCCCGGGTGCCTGGGGGTGCCCGGGTGGCCGATTTCGGTTGCCGGGCCCGGGTGCCCGGGTGCCCGGGGGTGCCCGGGTGCCCGGGGGTGCCCGGGTGCCCGGGGGTGCCCAATAGCCCAATAAATAGCTCAGTAGCCCTATAGCCCTATAGCCCTATAGCCGTATAGCCCTATAGCCCTGTAGCCCTATAGCCTTATATCCCTATAGCCCTAATAGCCTTATATCCCTAGAGCCCTAAAGCCCCATAGCCCATCTAGCTCTATAGCCCCATAGCCCTATAGCCCTATGGCCTTATAGGGCACAGTCCTATAGCCCTATAGCCCGATAGCCCTATAGCCCTATAGCCCGATAGCCGTATAGCCCTATAGCCCAATAGCCCTATAGCCCTATAGCCCTAACAAAAATCTGATTGGGTTGTTTCTCCGGTATCATTCTAGTTATGTGTCGATATTTGTGTGCATGCATCTAGGTGCACTTGTTGTATGAAGTATTTGGTGGCTGTTGGCAGTCTTCGGGGCTGCTGGGAGGTCTTCTCAAGAATCTTGCTTTATGGCTCTGTGTTCTGAGTTGATTGTAGGCCTTCGGAGGAGGAGAAGAGGGCGGGGTGAGGAGGAGAAGGAGGAGGAGGAGGAGGAGGAGGACCAAGATGAGGAGAAGGAGGAGGAGGATGAGGTGTGGACGTAGCAGGGAAACAGCGGAGGAGAGAGGAGTGCTGAGTGGTGGGATGAGTAGCAGTTTCGCACAGCTCGCTCGCGTCGAACGTTTCACCTGCTCGCTGCCGCTCCGAGGCCCATCGGACTGCTCCGTGATCACAGCAGCAGGCGTGTAAAAAGTGCCGTGCCCGGGTCGTGGACCAAGCGACTCTAGGACTTCGAGGACCACGTGCACAACACCGCAGGGCTGTGACGACAAACGCTACGTTTCGCCCTCGATGGCTGCATCGAGGCACAGGGAATGACCCCTCTCCATCTTTTCGTCTTTCGCCGAGCTGCGCTTGGCCTTCAGACCCATGGATGCACCCGTGCAACACCGCAGGGCTGTGCTCCCTCGCTGCCCTCCAGAGGCCCGCCCAGCATTGGCCCCGAGAGGCCTCCCGTGGCCCGTCCTGGCGTCCTCGGACCCTGCGCCCAGCCGCGGCGTCGGGACTCTTCGGAAACGGCGACGGATGGCAGAAACACTGGCGCCCCCGCCGCCGCCGCCGCCGCCGCCGCCGCCGCCGCCGCCGCCGCCGCCGCCGCCGCCGCCGTCGTCGTCGTCGTCGTCGTCGTCGTCGTCGTCGTCGTCGTCGTCGTCGTCGTCGTCGTCGTCGTCGCCGCCCGTCGCCCATCCCCCGTCGTCCGTGGCCCGGCGTCGTCGTCGGCGTCGTCGTCGTCGCCCTCAAAGGCGCCCCCAGCGGCGCCGGCGGGGCTGCTCGGTGACGGCGCTTCTCTCGGGCGGAGCCCCTTCGACTTCAGGAGGGCCGCCTGCGCGCGCGCCGCGGCGGCCGACATCGTCGTCGTCGTCGTCGTCGTGGTCGTCGTCGTCGTGGTCGCCGCCGTCGTCGTCGTCGTGGCCGTCGTGGCCGCCGCCGCCGTCGTCGTCATCGTCGTCGTCGTCGTCGTCAGTTCGAGGTTTGAGGAACGAGGTTTCGGTGCCTTTTTTGGGCCTCCGGGGTCGCTCTCGATGCCACGGCTGGATTTGCTTCGAAATTGTAGCCAGATCGCGCCCATGAAGAGGCCAAGTAGTCGTTCATCGTCGTCTTCGTGGTCTTCGTTGCCATCGCCTTCGCCGCCGTCGTCGTCGTCGGCGTCGTCGTCGTCATCGTCGTCTTCGTCGTTGTCGTCGTCGTCGCCACGGTCCTTCACATAGTGATTTCGCCTTAGTTGCCTCTGTCTTCCAGGGCTTGTAGTGGTTCTCCATGGGGTCCCCGTAAGGAGGCGGAAAGTGATTGATGCCCGTGGAGTCCCGCCAATGGGGTCGAGGCCGTATTTGGCCTGTCTGTTGGGTAAGCTGCGCAGTGCAATTCTGGCCATTTCTGCGTTTGGGGTCCATGCGCCACGATGGATTGCTGCATTCCAGTATCCATGTGTCGGTTCTTATTAGCAGCCTGTAACGTATTGCGAAGGTCTGACGGCCGGTGCCGCCGACCCTGAAGGGAGACGACGACGACGACGACAACGGCGGCGGTGACGACGACGACGTTGACGTGGGCCAGAGTCCGCAGGGATGCTTCTTGGGGTCTCTTCGGAAGGCTCTCGGGGGCCTCTCGGGAGGAATTCTGGGGCCTCTTGGGAGCCTCTTTGGGGCCTCTTGGGAGCCTCTTGGTGGCCTCTTCGGGCGTCCTGGGTACATCTTGTGGGCTTCTTGGCGCCTCTTGACAACCTCTTGGCGCTTCCTGGGAGCCTCTCGGGCCGAGGGCTCGAAATGTCCGTGCCCTCTCGGAGGCCTCTTAGGCCGTCTTGGAGGCGTTTTGAGCTGTCTTGGGGTCCTTTTTGGGCTGTTTTGGGGTCCTCCTGGGCCGTCTTGGGGCGATCTCGGGGGCCTCTTGCGCCGTCTGGGAGCGGCGGGGAGGGGAACAGACGAGAACGCCCAACTCTTGAAGAAACAGTTGGAACATCAATGAACTTGTCCTCTTGGGGCCCTCTCGGGAGTGCTCTTGGGGCGTCCTGGAGGCCTCCTGGGCAGTTTGGTGGGCGTGGATGCGTTCAAGATCGATCTTTTTGCGATTGATGACCTTCTGAGACGGTCTTGGGGGTCTCTTGGGGCAGTCTTGGCTTGTCTTGGAACTTTCTGAGGATCCCCAGGGGGGATGCGTATCTGACCGCCCCACTACCCCGCCGGGACCTCCCCTGGGACCCCCCCCCGGGACCTCTCCCGGGACCCCCCTCGGGACCCCCCCTTCCCCCCCCCGACGGGGGAGGGATCAAAGGGAAGTTTTTTTTTTTTTTTTTTTTTTTTTTTCTATTCGATTACGACGTTGCTAGATTCTTCTCGCTGACAAGCTTGAGGAGGAGGGCGTAGGGAAAGGGGACGACGGAAACGAGGACTGACGGAGACGACGACCCGTAGAGGCAAGCTTCTCACACACGCCGACAGGGTCGGGTGGTTCCTATCTCTTTGATTGGTATCGCCTTATCTCGGTGACGATCTTGAACAAACTCTGAGGGCGCATCCCTAAGACTGTCATGTCATTTGGGCTTGATAATCTTTAACACGGATAGGGATCAGCTCGAGGCTGGTTATCTCAGGAGCTGGTCATGCTCGCGAGAATGTCCGGCCGCTACGAGGTCTCACACACATTGTGGTTGTTGGCGGCCACAGGGTACCGCCCATGCCGTCCCAGCCGTGGGGCCTTGGGGAGTTTTCAGTCGCTGCAGGACTCATCGGGGGCAACCTCAGACGGTGTGGTGACTACGCCGCGTGGCGAGTCGGTGGGGGCTCGGGGCCACCGCACGGTCTTGGGACTCGGGCCGTTCTCCGAGGGTGTCTCGAACGACGGGGGCCTCCAGTGTCCCCGAACTGCGCGGTGGGGACTCCGCCGTCGCCGCGCGGTCCGTCACCACGCGGTTCTGGGGCGCAGATCTTCCACCCGTGCGCGGCTGGCGGCGCGCGCAACAAGGAGGCGGGGCGAGCGTCTCGGGCTGCTGGGAGGGCGGCCGCGCTCGCCGAAGGCATCGGAGGCTTGTAGAAGACTTCTGAGAAGGGAGAGTTCTGTAGCAAGTCACGGGAGCCTGGTACACCCTCTGAATTCCGTTTTTTTTGTGCCGATCAGCGTCAGTTAGCGTGTGAGAGTCGATGAGCTAGCGCCGATTTAGCGTCGGCTAGCGTCGATGTAGTTTGGGTCGATGTAGCGTCGACCAGCGTCGCTTCGCAAGAGCCGACAAAATAGTATGGGAGGCTCCCATTAGTTGCCATCGAAAGGGGGGGGAGTGTAAGAAGCAGGCCACCCCTGTTCCCGTCGGCGCGCCCGCCACGATGAGTATCATGGAAAACGCCTACGGCGAACCACCACCGCCCCCTACCCTGGGACGCGCCTGTGTGGCAAGATGTCGAGCGACAGTGCTGCCATGCTTGCGGACTTCGTGCTTCCCTGGCGCTTGGGAAAACCACTGGGGAGCACGTCCTGGGGGCCCTCTGTGGCCATCTGGTTTTTCCCAACCATCCCGTGTTGAATTTGTTTCCCGTTTTGAATTCTTTACGCTTCGCGTATCCCCACCAGCCCATCTCACAGCAGCAACTCTTGCGAAGCATGCCGACAGTCGTGCTTTTCAGGCGTGTGTCCGCTTGGCCCCGTATATCTCCCCTGTTCCTCCTTCCTCCCGCCTCCTTGTACATCCTCCTTGTGGGGGGAGCGGGAGAAGGACGAGGCGGAGGAGGAGGGAGAGAAAGCGCTCCTCGTGATTTGAGTCGTTTGGGGTTTCTCGTCCTGGTGTGAGTCGTTCGGGCCCTTCTTCCTGGTGTGAGTCGTTCGGGCTCTTCGTGGTGTGAGTCGTTCGGGCTCTTCGTCCTGGTGTGAGTCGTTCGGGCTTCTCGTGGTGTGAGTTGTTCGGGCCCCTCATCCTGGTGTGAGTCGTTCGGGCCCCTCCTCCTGGTGTGACTCGTTCGGGCTCCTCGTGGTGTGAGTCGTTCGGGGCCCGCGTCGTGGTGTGAGTCGTTCGGGCTCCTCGTGGTGTGAGTCGTTCGGGCGCCTCGTCCTGGTGTGAGTCGTTCGGGCCCCTCCTTGTGGTGTGAGTCGTTCGGGCTCTTCGTGGTGTGAGTCGTTCGGGCCCCTCGTCCTGGTGTGAGTCGTTCGGGCTCCTCGTGGGGCCTCTTGGGGGCCTCTTGGAGCCTCTTGAGGCCTCTTGGGGGCCTATTGGGGGCCTCTTGGGGGCCTCTTGGGGGCCTCTTGGGGCCTCTTGGGGCCTCTTGGGGGCCTCTTGGGGGCCTCTTGGGGGCCTCTTGGCGCCTCTCGGGGGCCTCTTGGGGGCCTCTTGGAGGCCTCTTGGGAGCCTCCTGGGGGCCTCTTGGGGCCATCTTGGCGCCTCTTGCGACCTCCTCAGAAGCGCAGATGAGCGCTGCCCCCTGAGAAGGACAAAATGAGCCCAAAACCTTCGTACAATCAATGATTTTGCTATGAGGGAAGATGAGTGCGGCCCCCTCAGGACGCCAAAATGGGGCCCAAACCCTAGTAAAACCAATGATTTTGGCTTCAACGACGAGTTGAGGGGCCAAACTGCCCCCCCCCTCCCCCCTCGGGACCAGAATCCTAGTGAGGGTCTTCGTTTTTTTGGCCCTCCCAGGAGTCGAAAAAGACCCCCTTGCCACCACTCGGCCCGCCCTTTCCAGGTCCAGGGGGGGTGGGGTAGGGGGAGGGGTAAACCCCTCCCCGAAGGGGAAGATAGGGGGTTAGGGGGTTGAGAACAGAGAGAGCTCCCTAAACCACTCACGCCCAAAGGGCTGTTGGGATTAGCAGCGCCCCGCGTCTCCCTTCCGCTCTTCCTCCCGCTCCCCTTTTTTCCCACTCCTGCATCCTTCTTCCTCGTCGTCATGTCGGCATGTCGGCAAACCCCTCTCACGCTTCGTGGCCCCACAGGGAGCTCCACTCCAGGCCCCACTGGGAGGGTTCGCATGGCGTTACCGCACCCATTTCGGCACATCCCTCACACGTTTCGTGGCCCCATGAGAAGTTCCAGCGAAGGCCCCAGTGGCTGGGATCGCATACCTTCTCCGTACCATTTCGGCACACCCCTCATACCCTTGGTGGCCCCATAGGAAGCTCCATCTGAGGCCTCAGCGGCTGGGTTCGCATGCCTTCACCACACCATGTCAACGCACCCCTCACACGTTTCGTGCCCCCACACTAAATCTGGCGCACCCTTGACTCGGCTCGTGAGCTCCGCTTAAGGCCACAGTGATTGGGTTCGCTTCCTTTTTCACACCATGTCGGCGCACCCCACCCCTCACACGGTTCGTGGCTTCATAGGGAGTTCCAACTAAGGCCCCATCGGTTGCGTTTGCATGCCTTTTCCACACCATTTTGGCGCACCCCTCAGACGGTTCGTGGCCCCAGAGGGAACTCCACTTGAGGCAGGTTCGCATGCCTTCTCCACACCATTTCGGCGCACCCCTCACACGTTTCGTGGCCCTGTGGGGATCATTGGGAGCTCCACCTAAGGCCCCAGTAGCCAGGTTCGCATGCCTTCTCCACGCAATTTTGGCGCACCCCTCACACGTTT